TTTCCTAAATGCATATTGCAACAATGTATTCATAGACTCAAGCATCAAGCGTCAACTCTTTAGCATTATCGACTACAACGTTTGTTTGATTAACGAAGAAATAATTAAAACATTAACACTGCTAACGAAGCTGTTGGGTGACGGTCGCGAGTCAATGAACAACAGCCAACGACCTGTCAGTCTAAAAATGGATGTGGTGAAGCTATCTGCAGCCTCAAAAACAGCTACTAAGCAGACTTCACCCAAACTTGAGTTGGTACCAAACAACTCTACCACTCGCTTCAAACGAAAGGGTGGCATAAAGCCATGCTGGATTTGCGAGACGACGGACCATAAAACATGTGGCTGCCCGTTATTCAAGACGTTAAACGCCGATCTAAGCAAGCCAACGCTGCCACAGCAATGGGCAATACCGTTTATACCAATGCCAACGCTTACGTAGTTGATGGAACCACTGATAACACATCAGAAACAGCGGGGAAGTGTTTTTTTACGGGTCGGCCGAAGCGCGTGATTACCTGACACCTCTAATAAACATGACCTCCGCGAATGCCTCTATTGGTGGTGATGCATATATTGTCATTCAAGAACCTGCAAATAAATGCCCTGCCTCGACGTCGTGGCTAATTGATAGCAGTGCTACCCATTGCTTTACGAATAATTTCGCTTCAATTCTTAATCCGTCACCCAGCTCTTTGCGCGAACCCGTCGCAAACGGATCTGTGCTCCAGTCCACCAGCAAAGACAGTGTCATTCTTGAGACAATTACTAATGGAAAAGTCATCAGATCGGTACTCACGGATGTTCACTACGTCCCTACCATGCCACGAAATTTACTTTCCGTTCCCAAGCTAATTGATCATGACTTTGTGGTCTCTTTTTCTGGTCACTGTACCATCTCCACCGAGAATCGTATTGTTGAACGTGCCCCACGCGAATCAAGACTTTGGTCCCTTTCTGCTGTAACGGTTACAGTTGATGAGGATACCGCATGTATTGCCCGTATTAAGAACTCAACTCTACGGCAACGACATGACCGGCTCGGTCATCTTAATTACCAGGATGTCATTTGTACGGCTGACAAGGGACTAGCCGATGGTATCAAACTCACGAATCGAAACATGCCTTTTTGCATGCAGTGTGCTGAAGCGAAGCAGACTCGCAACCGCTAAGGAAAGGAAGACACGTCGAGATCAGCACCTACAGATGAAATAGGTGCCGTTTTAGGCCTAGATCTCAAGATTAATATCACTCCGGTTGATCGCAAAGGACCTGGGCACGTCCTCACCATTGTCTACCACGCATCCTAAAACAACTGTGCTTTTCTACAAAAAAAGAGTAAAGCTTTTGACAATTTCGTAACGTTCCATGCAGGATTTCAACAGCAATTTGGTGTACGCGTGAAATGCATTCGGTCGGATCCCGGTGGTGAATTTGTAAATGACAAGACCGCTCAATACTTGCAGCGCTATGTGATTCTTCACCAGACAAATGAAAAGGATACTTCCGTACAGAACGGCAAAGTCGAGCGCTTTCACCGCACACTGTTTAATACAACTCGCGCGATGCTTTGGTCATCTGGCATGCCAACAAAATTTTGGGGGACGCTTTACTTTACGCTAGTACTATGCAGGATTATCTACTCACCCGCGGTAACCTATCGCCGCTCACCTCTCGTTTTACTGACAGAAAAAGCAGCGAATGTCAGCCATTTGCTTAAGTTTGGTGCCCACTGCACTGTGAGGCTACAACATGTTGCCGCAAAGTCACTTCGAAAACGATCCAAAAAGGCGTATATTCTTGGCATCGACACCGTCAACAATGGCTACAATCTATATCTTCCCCGCACCAAAAAGTACTTGACCAGTTCCAAGATCAAGAATGTTGACCGCATTGACATATCGGCCGCTGGTGAACTCGTCGATACATTCGACACGTTGGATACTATGACAAACTATACTCAGTCCCAAGCCCAAAGTGATTTTGATCGTGCCATCGGCACCCATACCACAATAGGGCCAGTGTCCGAGAGGGAGGAGTCACTAGACCAAGTATCCAGTACAACGGAGCCTCTCACAGACGAGTCTGGTATTGATCATGAGTCGCGAAATTTGCTTCCTGTCACACAAACATCAACAATGATGAATCAAATGAGCGACGACATGGGCAGCGACAGCGAGTGTGACTACCAAATAGATGACGCAATTGACGACATTACGCTGACCAAGCGACAATTGACAGTGTATTTGGTGTCCGCAATCGCGGTGAGAAAATTGTTACTAAAGATTTTGATCTGCCAGCGTCCATTCTCCTTGATGTCACCAGTCTCCCTGGAACAGCTATGACTGCAATTCACATATATGATGGTGTTCCAGATCCTCAAAATATTCGCGAGGCAATGGCTAGTTCTTTCTGGCAACAGCGAAAGAAAGCTATGATTAAAGAACTCGATCAATTATGTACAAACGGTACATGGGAGGAAGCTATTTCCCCATTAGGAGCCAATGTGGTGTCAACAAGATGGGTGTTCAATATTAAATACAACTCGCTAGGTGAGCTTGACAAGTTCAAGGCTCAGCTTGTGGCAAGAGGATTTACTCAGCGAAATGGTGTTGGTTTCGAAGAGACATATTCCCGTGTACTGAAAATGGCAAGCGCGCGATTTCTGATCACGCTTGGCGCCCAGTGGAGCTGCAAAGTTCGTCACGGTGACGTCCCAAATGCATATCTCCGTGCACCAATAGATCGCCCTGTCTTGTTAAGCCACCGCATGGATCCCCAGATGAAGGAGTTGTGTACTGATTGCTGAAAAGCCTATATGGTCTGCAACAAAGCGGAAGACTATGGAGCGAAATAATTCACAATTTCTTGTGAAGTGCGAGTTCAAATAAAGTCGCCAATATCCGTGCGTTTTCTTTGAACATGAAAACCCTTGACACTAGAGTTGTTGGTCTTTATGTCTATGATGTGATCGTCATTGCACAAGATTACTCCCTGTCCGACACTGTCACGCAACAGCTTCACACAAAATTTGAAATTAACAATTTAGGTTTGATTCGCAAGTGCCTCGGTTTCAATGCGGAAACAACCGAATCTGGCTACTTGCTACAACAATAACACAACATCGATGCTATCCTTTCCAAGGTCGAAATGGAAAACTGCACAACCCGCTCGACACCAATGGAAGAAAAACACAAGTTGTACGATCAAAATTCGAGCCTGTTTCAAAATAAGCGACTGTATCAAGAGTTTATGGGATCACTGTTGTGGATCTCCAACTGCACCCGCCCAGATATCACTACGACCGTAAACCTTTTGTGTCGAGCGACGCACGCACCTACCATCCAACCCATTAGAATTGTGTCAAACGCCTCATGCGTTACATTAAGGGTACCTCGACTCACGAAATTTTTTTATCCAATAAATTGATGCAGTTAAATCACGACCACGTCTCAAGGTTTATAGCGACGCCTCATGCGCCGATTCAAAACCTGACGCGAAGTCGACTACCGGTGTCCTTCTGACAATGAACGGCATACATATCTCGTGGTACTCAAAAACAGTCCGTCGTTGCGTTGTCTACAATGGAAGCTGAGTATATCGCTGGTGCAACATGCGTAAGTGAATGCCTTTGGCTTGCAGATCTGTTATCGGAGCTGAAACTTACCGCTGACAAAGAACCGATGTCACTCATTGTTGACAACCAAGCTGCAATCAAAAACATGTAGAACAGCATCAGCTCACCTCGCAGCAAGCACATCAATATCCGGTTTCATTTTGTTCGGGACAATGTGCAAGCCAAGCGTGTCACAGTACACTACTGTTCCACATCCGAAATTCTAGCCGACATCTGAACAAACCGCTCGGCCTCATCAAGCATGAACGCTTCACAAGAGACCGCATGTCATGAGTCAAGAAGAATTCAAGATCATCAATTGAGGCCTGCTTGACTTGAGGGGGAAAGTTAGAACTTCAACTCACAAAGCAGGACTACCTCCAAGGCCCCATATCCTCAGAACATTCCTTGAGTTATTATGACGCCTTAACGAGCGCCATGATCCACTGCATGCAGATCAACAGAAACACACACACAATAATAAGCTCATTTTGGGATAATCCCTCACGAGAATAATACACGTTTTTCCTTACCAGAGTCCTCTGCCAACTTTAGATGATACAGCGGGCGCAACAACAGCCATCATATGATTGCAGTCGTGCGGCCTTTCGTTGGGGCGCGGCATGTTGGTGATTGTTGACTGATTGGTACATTGTTTGATGTTGGAAACATGCAAAAGACGTGCTTTTGTGTGCAGTGCGACAGGGTCGTTGGAAAAGGGGATTTTGGTTGCGGAACGGCGATGAAATATATAATATTTTTTATAAAAACAATTTGGCCACCGAAAAAAAAGTTACAGATTACAGGTGGTGCGCACGGTGGTTAATTTCGTGTAAGAAGATCATATGAGCCCAAAAAACAAAAAGAAACGTCACACTTTCTCGAAGACCAACCAATGCACAGCAAGGTATACAATAAATTACCATAACATGTCTGGCATTCCATGCTCATCAGACCTGTGTGATTGAGACGGTGGCGTTTGATGATGGAGTGAGTTCGCATGCGCACCGACAATGACAACGCAGTTCTGCAGTTTCTGACGATACGATGTCGTCTTTCACGCATGCTCAATGTCGGTCTACTACTGCATGGCCCCGTTTGTGAGAGGCAAATGTTGGAAGAGCCGAAAAACGCTATTCACTCCCTTCGACGACAACTTCTGCTCGTTTTGCCCGGACAGTCTCACCGTGATGCAAAAACCGTTCGCACAAAACGTAGTTCGAGCTCCTTCCACTTTGCAACGCACTTCTCGTACGACTGGACACGACAGACTGCGCCGCAAAAAAACACACACACAAACACAGAGACCCAACAAACCGATACGAAAGATCATCGTCACCAGATAGTCAGCCAACCACATTTACACATCGCGTTGTGTGTGTATTTATGCATACAACTTTGCTTCAGCAATTGCCTCGTTACGCTGTTCAATAGCGGAAGCTATAGCAGCAACGACCAAGATTATTGAAAGCGTAATGGCCTGCGTAATTAGAAAGACTTTGAGCATGCTGTGCTCTTCCAACTTCTTGATCTTCGCACTGGACGCCGTATACTGTTTCAGCGCCTTGTCCCATCTGGCAAGTTCTTCAGCGAGCTTTTCCGATTCACTCCATGTGTCAGCTTTTGGCTCGAGCACCGAATACTTCCGCGTTGCCTCGGCCTCAGCTTTCGCAGGAATCTCAGACGTCTGTCCGTTTCCCCTAAGCTTGACAATCGCTGGATCAGCTTTGGTCTCGTCCACCGGGTCCTTGCTCGTTCCCACAGTCGCAGCCTTTGCAGGGACCTCGGCAGTCTGTCCGTCGGCCATGAGTCTTTTGGCCCGCTCATCTGTAGCCACCGCATTGAGAAAGCCATCATCACCCGACACGGCCGTCTTGAACTTATTGACCGTTGCCTCGTCGACCAGGCCCTTGTCTTTCGCCAAACTCTCCACCTCCGCCGCGACCTCAGCCTTTACTTCCGCAGCTTTCGTCAGTACAGGGCTTCCTCCTTCGACAATGGCAACCACGCTCTGTGGTGCCCTTTCCTCGTGCTCCTCCCGTTCATCGTGCAACGTCTCCTTTGCAGCATCTGCTGCCTGGAGACTGCGGGTCGTCTTGTCCGCGTGCGTCACGCTTTCCACAGCGGCTCGCGCGTCGTCCGAAGCGAACCCGTTGACACATTCGACTGTGGCCAAGAGGACGTGGCAAACGAGCACCAAACATAAAGCAGTTCGAAACATGAGGTCGTCCTCTCGTCGGAACGGATCGGGGGACAAGCGGAGCGAGACGGTGTCACTACGGTAATCCGTTTATATCTCACGAGGGAGATCGGCGGTCGATGCTGCAATGACCGACAAAGCTCAAGTGCGTATGTCTGTGAGTTCTCTCTCTCTCTCCGGTTCTCTCTCTCTCCGGTTCTCTCTCCCTCTGGTTCTCTCTGGTTCTTTCTGGTTTTCATTCCCACCTCACACTTCTGCATTCCCTCGCTCGCTCCTCCCTCACCACTCACCTTCCACCAATCCTCAACAACCAACTGGAGAGCAGGTGCACCTGGTCGACGAGCAGTTTCAGTTGCAGTGACAAGCCATGCGGACAAAGAGGCTACGAAGTCCAGCGTGGCAGATCATGTCGGACGGCTTCTTCTTTACTTACGGAACCGTCGACGAAAGCGTTTGGCACCGAGTTGATGGCGATTGACAGATATGGTAGTGAGCCTATACAGGACGTCGGACGTGTCGGTCGAGCGCTCTCCTATCACGAGCATATCCCAAGTCCCAAGACCTTTGGTGGTTGTGTTGAGCCAACGCTGAAAGCAAACTGTACACTGCACATTCCTTCCTTTACGCATCCGGTGTCACACGAAAAACCATTGCCTGCTCGGCAACGTGCATCCTTGAAGTGAAGCAGCGTCGGAGCCCCTAGATTGTCCGCCAGGCCATTGGCTCGAGCTTAGCTTTGGCTTTGATGCCCGACTGCCTGCTGCGTGATACTAATGGATGGCATCAAATCTCCTCTTGAATAGTCTCAGTGCTTACAGTGAGCCAACCTCTGTGACACTCGCACGCGATACACGAACTCGTCTTTCGAGTAGGTCCATTCGCGACTGTCCGAAGATGCGGAGGATGTCAAAGACGGGTGTCAAACACCAGGCCGTGCGGCTGACGGTGTGAGCTTCAACTCCACGCTCGACGTCAGTGTTGTCACATAGCACAGATGGTTGTGTGCGGAAGAACCAGCGAAACGCAGTCGCTCTGTGCCACAGTAGATCCAGATTTGCGACCTTATGGCACCGACGATCAGTCGAAGTCGTGCTACAAAACGGGCGCATGCCGGAGTCGACCAGTAGGCTCACGTGCTGCCTCACTCGTGAGGAGAAAAGTGTCGCCTGGGCAACGGTTCGAGTTTGACGTCGAGGCTACACCGTTCCCTTGAGACTAAGTGTAAGGGCAATGACTAGTGTCAGTGAGCACTGCAACAACTACGAATGTGGTGACCACAGTCGGAAGTGCACAAGTCGGTGAGTGAACACAGCAATGGGACGTCTCGAGCTCAACGATTTGCACTGCGACTTTCAGTTCTTTGTCGCGAAGCCAACGCAGCGACAGATACGTTGACTACCGAGATGTCGAGGGGCTATACGTGGAAACTAGGTGTAGACTGTCAGGTCAATAAGGACGTAGTTGCGACCGGCTCGTTGACTTATACGCGGAATGTAGCTGTCGACCATCTAGATGATGAATGCGCTTCTCGAGCTTATCAGACAGTCAAATATGTGCTGTTATTGACTGACACCCTCTGATTTAACCGCCCGTTTGAGGAAGTTAGGATGCTGGTGAGTGTACTGAACAAGTCGCCTGCTACGAAACGATGCAAAAGCGCTAGTGGACGAATTGTCCATGTTGCATTGAGGACTACTTCTTGTGTCACACTGAGCCACACCCATACAGCACATATTCTCCCACGTTCACTCTGTGGTTGAGATGAAGAGGTACGAATGCTGCAGTCAGGACAGGTACTACCAGTATGCGAGAATAGGTTGGCGGAAGTACTCATGCTGGGTAAAGCTACACGTGATGATATCATTGCCATTGGTTTGCGCGCGACGGAAAGTGATACACGCGAGTAGAAGGCCTTGTGAACGCGATGGCAGACACAGCGGTTAGCGTCAATGACCGCTAGCTAGCGACTGAGTTTGACATCGCTAGATGCATGCAGTTTCAATAGCAGTATTCTGCAGGCCATGAAGAAGAAGGCGATAGATTTTGTGCATACGATCTCCGTTTATCGTAGAGGCGATGGACGGCACATTTTGCTTGCGATAAGCTGATCTACTAGTTTGCTTCTGCGGCCGAGCGAGGGCTATTCGCTTCACGGATCGATGTCAGGTTTACAGTGCTATTGGTGCTTCGAGGAAGTAGATAGCAGAAGTGCAGGTGAAGGTTGTGACAATAGATTCTTTGCCATATAGACGTTTGGGTGCTCGACAGCCATGAGTGTAGGAGTGATGGCACAGTGTAAGCTTACAGTCGTGCAGCGACCCGTCGACAACGCCTCGTGCTGCTGTCGACACTTGCATTCCAGCTGTACCCAGCATCGAAGCCATCGTCATTTCAGTGTCTTGTAAACCAGTCCCGCAGTTTCTCTCCTCATGTCTGTGCACAAGTGACTGCAAAGCGGTCAAACGTCTATCGTCACACGCTTGGATCGAGGTACTTTCGATGCGACGCGCTGCACTCCATAAACAAACAACTTTGCATCGATCCAGACAGGGCCTCTCGGCAAGGGTAACTCGAGTCGATGTCGAGTATCTACTCTTTCTTCGACTTTCCCTCTGAAACCAAAGCGACTTGCGGCGCAGGATACAGCCATATTGCAAGCGACAGCGTGTGGATGGACGCGTAGATACAGCAGATGTACGGCAGCGCTAGCAGATTGGTATGGTGGGCAAAGCTGTCCACGATGTAGGACAAACCAGCTATCGCGTCTGACACACCACAACAAAGCAGGCAAGATAGTTGGCACTGGCATCCTCATCGCATATCGCTTTGCAGGCCAGAGCGTACCCATGCGAGTCCAGCTGAGCAGAACCAGGAGAACGAGGGGAGACGATATGGCGAGCCAAAGGCCGTTCCAGACCCTTGTCGCCTGCGATGCGGTCGTCAAAGGAACGATACTGGCAAAATGGGCCATGGGAAGTGCACCGAAGATTGCCATCGGGTAGTTCAGAATACCCAGGATACAATGTGCGTACCTGGTGCAAAACAAACATACATCAGTTGTAGGCACAAAAGACCATTATCACCCTTACTCGTGAACGAGACGTCTCGCCCAACAGCATTTCGCGACGCGACGTACACAAGCACTGCCATCGTCATAAACTTGATGGCGCGCCAGCCTGGATCCAAATTCGAACCATAGTCCCCGGCTTCTCGCGCACTAGTAGTCGCAGGTTCTTCCGATAGCTTCATTTGTTGCTCAACTTCGTACCTCGCAACTTGCTTCCCCCAAGCATGCGTTTCCACACATCCTGACAAGCTTCTCACCGAGCGCAATGCCGGCACAATCACTGCAACCACGAAAGCTTGGATGAAAGAAATCGCGATTGTCAGAGCCCACCATCTGATAGCACCTTTGTCGTCCAGACGGGGTGCTTGCAGCGACGCGGCCGGGGTCGCGTAGTATTTGCCGGCCATAATCAGAAGAAGCACGCAAAGCGTTTCAACAACGAGGAGTACGGCCAGCGCAAACGCGACGCGCATTCCACTGGTTTTCGTCGCCACATACAGCAGATGAGCAATGGCGGGCGAGATCGCCAAAGCCAGTGCATAGAAATACTCGCCCACCGATACGAAAGTCGACGGGCTCGGGAGAACGTAGAGGTAGAACGATTGGTGCAGCTTCTCTTCGATGTTGCTCACTGCACGGACCACCATCTCAATTGACCGGAGGACCCCGCGAGTAGAGAGCGGACGATCGCCTGCATTCGGACTCGTTGTCAGCGAGAGTGTGACACTGTCGATGTTGTAGCTAATGGAGTTCGCGTGAGGACCTGAAGAACCTGATGCGAGCGTTGTCATGAAGTGCAACATTCCTTTTAGGTTGTCCAAGTAAGCCAATAAACCTTGTTCCAGCCCCACCCCAGCGTACTCCTTGCAAACGTACTTCATCCAGCTGAGCACAGATGACACGTAGCTCTCGTGCACGTGTCCCTCCACTTGCTGGACACTAGCACGGTCCAGAACCGTAGGAATTCGGTGTCGGCGGAATGCACGTACTGCAGTGTTCACGAGATCCAGGTTTGGAAGCTGACCGTTCATGCCAGCTGCATAGATTCCAACCGCCCCCACCGGATGCGAGCTCGGCATTGTTTCTAGATTGATCGCGGCACGTATGATACCGGCACGCATGGGCAAGCCCTCTTGCAAGTCGCTCTGAACAGAATCCAAATGGTACGCTTGCAGCCACGCTTCTGTTCCGAAAGCAAATCCGTCACTGCCATCCAGCGCACCGTCTAGCAAACAATCGCGCTTCAGTACCCAAAGCCTTGCTCATAAAACATAGCAATCTCGCCATCGCCTTACCGTCAGCAGCCAAAAGAATCACATCTTTCGCCAACCACTTTGCTTTGGCAAGATAGTTCAGCAACGCAAGTCCCACGGACAATCCTGAGGAGTCGCCAGTACCAGCACCGACGTTACAATAGTGCGTCACCAACACAATCGCTTCCTGTAGAATCAACCAAATAACGAAGTAACACAAACGTTTGTCTACCAATGGCACCGAAAACAAACAACAACAGCACCGATGACAGCTCTAATGGTCAATTGCGTACCTTGCCATCAGCCAATGGCGAGGCCCGTAGAACGCCGTACACGTTCGTCCGAGGTGCAGACGTCGCATCTAACTGGAACTCTTGACGATACACTTCTACACGGTCTAGACCCCGCAGTTCGGCGTCGATCCAGTTTACAACCGCTGAGCAGTTGTCTCCGCAGCCTCGAGACGGTACATCCGGCAGCCTGAGCAGTTTCTGCTGCATATCATGAGCTGCACGAGCTTCTGTGTGGTCACTTCGGGCATCCATGAGGTCGACCAGCAGCGCATTCTCGGACATGTACGTATTACGACACTTGAGTTCGCCTAGATGATTAAAACCACGCTATTTTAGCATAAAACGCAGTATTTTAGCAGCATTTGTAGCACGACCCGCCACTTCGAACCGGTTGTGATCGTCACTGCGGGATGCAAAAGGAGCCAAAATAGACCCAAAACGTAGCTGCCCCAGCTGTAAAAGACGCAACGACACCACAAACGCTCAGCGATACACACGTTAAAAAAAGTGATCCGCGCGTGCTCGAAAGCGACGCGTTGTTCGACGTGTACCACTGAATTCGCACACGAATAAACAGACGCACACAAACACACCATAATGAGAGGCAATGAGACGCCACGACGCTGCGGATACGGAGCAGCGTCTGTCGTGGTCGCTCGAGGGCCATGAGCCGTGGCGCGTAGAAATGACGAGGCGCGGATTTCTATACTCTTCGCATAGAAATGGGTGCAGGACGTAGTTTCGGTGAAGTGGCTACAGGACGTAGTTTTGGTAAAGTGGCTACAGGACGTGGTTTCGGCGAAGTGGGTGCAGGACGAAAAGAGAGAAAGAGATCGATGTGGTACACACGGTGAGGAATAAAGCGATCGATACATGTTTTTGTGGCATACAAAAGTCTCATAAATGGGCGTTCAGGTACTTCGCCAACTAGTCGTCTGCGTTGCCAACCTCCTTGTTACGAGTCTAACTTTGCCAACGTGCTGCAAATACAGACAGGTGTGGTTACGAAGATGGAGCGACATCACGTCGAGCAGAAGATATGGTCTGAGTGTGACAAAGCCCGCATGATCGATAGGATGTATACACAATAAACGATTGATCTGTCTGAATTGTTTTGTGTGCACTTTGATGAGCTATGGCTTCAACGTTATAGCCCGATGCGTTGGCCTATAGTGACGTGTTGTTGTTTTCGATCCTTTGTGGTCGTTCTGCAATAGCGCAGCGGCAAACAGAAAGTCGATACGTCACAAATACATGATGTGCTCAGTCGTATGCTGGTGTATTATGTGGTGCTCAGTCGTATGCTGGTGCTCGATACCGTGCTGGCCGTATCCTGGACAGCAAGAATTATGGCTCCAGTCGGACTGGTCGTGAGCATCTCATAGTGTCCATGATGCAGGTAAATATATTCGTCGGTGACGCGGATTGGAACTCTGGTAATGGCGCTGTTGTATTGATCTACTGTAGTCTTAGGAGCTCACAACGAACATTGCACGAGACAACAGAGGTGGACGGTCGTAGCGCAGCTGGACAGGTGTAAGATTGTGAGCGAGCAGCAAAGATCGTAATGCGGTGATTGGGGCGCTCGAGTGAGCACCACATTTATAACCGATATCGTTACATCGGGTGGCCGAAGACTGTCAAGTCATTCGCTCGATACATACGTCATAGTTCGGGAGCTTTGCCGTATGAAGCTATCAGATCGTTGTCCTGTGTCCTTTCGACGCATGCAGCACCCTCATCTCATCTCCACAAAAGCTCGTTAGAACTACACAATCGATCAGATCAGTCTGCGACTACTACTTCAAGTCCGTGTAAATGGATGCACTACCATTCCAGTCAAGTCAAGCCTGGCGCTGCATTGTCGCGCTCTTCTACTTCTGTCCACTGGTTCTTGTCGTGCATCACATTGTACCGCGTAGACGGGAACTGTGTCTCATCGCACTCATAGCTCAGCGTGTCGACAATCGACGCAAGTGTATAGCAGTGGCAGCACGCTACCAGTCAAGAGCAAATAGTGCAGCGACGTATTCTACGTGATCTGTCCACGCCAACAAGCGGCGGTTTACTCGCAAGCGATAGCGCTCGACAGGGGCTTCGACATCATCGGCTCAAATAGTGCCGTAGGTGCAGACGCAGTCGTCGCCTCCGGTGCCACGTACGGCAAAAGAGTGACCGGCTGGTCGTCCGAGCACACGGAGAACGTGGCCGTGGCCGTCGCGTTGGCACAGTCAATCTGCGTCGTCGCGCCTTGGCGATCGATCACCGTGGGCTTGTCAAAGCACGTGCGAATGACCGAGAGCTGGTTCTCGCCGTCCACCGCTGAGCACAAGACCATCACGTGACGGTCGTACAGCGCCCGAATCGCCGCCACCGTCGTCTGGGGTGGGTCACGAGCTGCCCACACGTTGATCCGCTCGGTCGCTGCACGAACGCGTGCCGCTGTGTGGAGCGTCGCTTCAAAGTACGTGGCCGCAGCAGCTTCGAGGTCCGCCCCTTGTGCCGCATAGCACAGGCCGTGCTTTTGGAACTCATGGTTGTAAATCTCGCACAGCGTATTGTGCGTCGACTGTTGCGAGGCGTCGAGCCAGTGGGTGGCCATGTGCGACAAGAGCGTCGCGTGACGCGTGGCGAACGGCACTGCGTCGAATGGATCGTTTCCGACCGTCGCACTGGCATTACAGCAGCTCACGTATCCATCGTTGTAATTCGGCCAGAGCCCGTGGATCGTCAGTGTGCTCCGAGCACGATACGGGCTACAGGTGATGCCCATTGGGTACGGGTTGACATTCTGGTGCGAGATCGTGCCGTCTACGCCCACAAGAAGATCCCGACAGAATTGCGGGACGAAGAGTTGCTCGAGCACGAGGTAGTCAAAGTCCTCCGGTACGTTCTGCTTGGCCAGACACGCGGGGTCTTTGGTCAAGCACGTGGCACTGGGGGCAGAGCAAATGTCGACGCACTGGCCAGTGGACACGGAGCTGTTGATCCAGCCGCCCGCGTAATCGATCGCTCGTATCTGTGGCAATAGACCGGATGAGCAGAGGGCGAAGGCGAAACAAAGCGAAGCGATCGAAGCCCTCATGTGTGAGGAAGTGGAAGAGAGGCGGTCGATTGCAAAGTGCTGTGTGTATGTGCGCTCAATGCGACATTGTCTCTCTCTCAAGGGTCTCTCTGTCAACGGTCTCTCTCGAGATCATAAGATCGACGGCTGGTCGTAGGTGTTTACCACCTTTTGTTGAGCGGGAAAAGCGCTCAGACTATAGGATGCAGCGCAAGAAGGATAGGGAAGAACGGAGAAGTATTTACAGCTTCGTGCATCGCATGTATAAATGAACGAACGCATTGTCCCAAGTCGATGCGCTATCGTAGTCACAGTGGCTTTTGTCATGGCGATACAGACGCATTTACTCACTCGATAATGCGAGCTATCGTCGATGGCGTGCGGTGGTACGACGACGTCATGGGAAGATACGTCGCGAATGAGACAGTCGGTCACACTCTCGATCGATGCAGCGAGTCGCTGAACCCATCAAGTTGCCGTTGGCTGCCTACTTGGCAACGCCTGGCGACTGAATACGCGGCTTAATTCTGGATGCATTACAATCGATGCTTTTCGATGGCGGACTCGCCAGTGGCTTTCGATGCGACGAAGTCGTACAAGCAATAGCAGGTATACACGTCCAGTTGCGCAGGCTATGGGAGCTCTTCGTCTTGTGCAGCGTATGCACTGATGCACAGATCGTAGATGAAGACGTTTTGGACGCAACACTTTGTTGAGCTACGACACAGACTCGTTAGCAGCAAAGAAGAAAACATAGCTTGTCGAGCATATACTGTCTCTAGAGGCAATGGTGTGCTGATTTACAGCAAGACGATGCTCTCGTTGATGCGATGATACGCAAGAAAAGTGCTGAGAGCATGGAGCGAGTTGCTAGCGCAAGTGAGCGTAACGAGGCGATCGAGCGGTGCAAGTGGAAATCTATAACAGGCCCGGGCGCAGCCATTGTACCAAAGTTTATACAAGAGCTGCAGCCCGGACAACACGTGCATGACAGCCGCTGCTTAACTGTCAAGTGTGTGATGGAAAGCGTGAATTGGCTGACGACATACGATTGGTGCAGCCGACTCGATGGAGCACAAGTGTTTAATTTCGATCGAGGAGTGATCTCTGAAAGTTGGCGATCACATACGCACGTAAAGCTCGGACATGGCGAGCTCGATTGCGCGTTCGAAGGGAACCTTCGCCCGTAGTAGATCATTACTCCTAAATTTAAACAAAAGCTGGATACATGGTATATGAATTCGACCGTAGTTTGAGGGTCTTCGAACTAAGCGTCGCCATCGCTTACTCGCATTACATGTCTTATTATCCTAGTCCATTATTATCACACCTCGCCTCAACGTTAAATTTTGATTCCATGTCGCCCACATATATAAGTGGTGCGACAGGACGAGTGCGACAATTGCCACCAATCAATGTCTATTCGGACTTGGCCGAAAGCGCAATCCGTCTTCTAGTTGAAAATTACTTGATCACATAGATGTCGCAGATTGTAAACTATAGCTATGCACGACAAAGACGAGATAATTCTGGAACACATGGATGATGTCATGAGCTAAAGTCCTAGCGTTCTCCTCGTCACCGAGGTATCTCTTATGATGAAATATTTTTCCTATCATCGGTCATTGTCTTGATAACTAAACAAGCTGTGAGATGACTTTGCCAATTTAGTCGGCGGTTCAATCGGTGGTGAATCGGCCCAATAACATAGAGTTCGTGTAGGGGGGGCACTGATGACTACGTACTGCCTATAAGGCATAGCTGAACCTCACTGACAACTGTCGGCGCTAGTGACTCGCTACCTCACGTACACGTACGCAGAGGAAGGTATAACTACTAAACGACAACGCTTAGTAGTAGAAGAAAGAAAAAATGTTATTAGAATAATCGAGTCCTTGATCTGTCTCATCAATTAGTCCTGATTGAATCAAATTAGTACAAAATCATGTATGACGAGTCTACTCAACATTTACAGCGTGCGTCGAGCAACAATTTGTGGGTTGACATGACGGCCTATATCAACCTAATGTGAGAACGTTGAGTCACCACAATAGATCACAATCGATAGTGGCGCTGTTCAACAAATATGCAACATAATATTCTTTTTTGTCAATTCTTACCAACGGCAATATTGTGTAACAGGGTTACCCCGTCACAGTTCGGTATCGTAGTTTCCTTGTTAGTCTTGCGTATTGGTTAGTATCCGTCACCCTGTAATCTGTGAGATGGACCAACTGAACATACCTTTCCTGTTGACTCATTGAAGTTATAGATTTTGTTGCGCAGAAGAGCGCACATGAATAATCTGAATCCATTTTCGCGAGAAGCAGCGGACGGATCCGCCACTATTTGTTCGGTACGCACGATCAGTTACTTTGGGATGAGGAACATCTATGTATGAAGAAGATTCCAGTCGGCGCTTCAGTTCGGACGACCAAATAAATTAGATTGCTAGCAATGCAACACTTTCTTCACATATGACTTCCGTTGCCTATGTAGTAAAGTAGGGAGATTTGTCCTGCTCGCCACCGTTATATCACAATTGACAATGCTTAGCGTTTGAGCTCGTGTGCTATTCGCATAGCAAGAAGGTATATGTAAGTTTATTTACAAGCGACTTGATCAAGATAAATGGATACATGAGTAAGGTCGTAGCTGGAATCGCCTCGTCTTCAGAGTCAAGCCGTCGTCGAGAAGATGCGTTAGTATATGGTAGATTGTTTCGTCTTGACTCGAACAGCAGCGAAGTCCAATCGCGATAGAAGCGTTATTGTAGCAAGTTGCGACGGCGGTTCTTTAGTGCATTTGCTACGCGCATGTACTGCACTCGTGGTATTGTTATGGTAAGGCGATAACGATGCGGTAAACATGCGTGAGGGGGTAATGAAGACGAGTCTAATCAGTACAAGCAGAAGACACACGATCCAGCAACGCTCTGTACTGTCAGTTGCTACTGCTCTTTGGTTCACGGGCACCAGTCCATCTCAACCAGGACAGGACGATGCGCAAACGAACAAGGCCGATGAACGAAACGTTGCATCACTGAGCCTAAAGGTGTTAGCTTCGGATACGCTTTTGTTAAACACTCTTTTTACAGAGCTGTGATTGTGGATAAGAATCACGCGAAGATAGCAGGTGCACATGGTCTGTCTATCATTATATCTTTCTGGTGAACCGATATGCCGCTCACTCGTTTACTGTAGGAATTCAAAGACGGCTGCGAGAGCTGAATCGTGTGTTGAAATTTTTGGTTTCGGTCAAGTGTTCTAAATCGTGATGAAGCCGGTCGAGAGTGCCAACCGTGTCTTGTTGTGGGTAGTCAAGTCTGTAAGTAGTATGGCAAGATATTTGGCATACTTCTCGACCTGTTGACCTAGTTTAAAGTAGGAATCAATAACTTCCAGTGAGCTTAAACTTTATGACTTAAGCGACTTTTGATCTCGTCTACTTTGTTTGTTCTGACTAGGTACCCGTAAACCTAACGCTTGTGCCAATAATGACGGCTTTTGGTTTCGTCTTCGCTGATCTACCATGTACCACGCCGGATGAAAAGAAACGCCAAACCTAACGGCCGTAGGGAAAAATAGGCGCTCGATCATCCCGCGAGGTCGTCGTTGGTCATGCGATAACGAATCAACGACTACGAAGCGAAACGGACAGCCATCTTCTCTCGACGCGACGCGTGACCTAGCGGCAAGGCCAAAATGCCGCACAACAAACCGTGTATCTGCTTTGCATACGGGTTTTCCCTCGTGTACTGGTAAACGCTTGGCCGAAAACGTCCCTTAGCGCCCGTGACAGCTTCCGTCGGTTGTTGTTGTGTGCATCGCAGTCGACGAATTTTACTCGCACTGGTCATCGAGGTGGAAAAGATTGAGTGCTTGACATTGACGATAGGGAGAAAGAAGGGTAGAACGTTCGTGATAGTGATAAATAATAGCTTATATTGACAGCACACTGCTCTTAGACGTACCAACTGATTGTTCAGTCGGCCTTACGTGCAGGTACGCTGCGGTGCGTGTGTTCGTGGTCGTTCACTGTCCTGATTCAGATTGGCAGTGTCTCCTGCCGCTTTCGTATATACCAAGAACGTCGAGTGAAACGTCGTCGGGACTGAACTCCTCGTCACTGCGTCCCGACATGAAGGACGCGGACGAGTCCCGGGTGCTCTGGTCCGAGCCGCGCTCGCAGATCGCCACGATGACATCGGGCAACTTGACGTTGTCGCCGACAATGAACGTCGTGAATGCGCGACACACGCTGCGTACCAGTACGTTGCAACCTTGATTGCCTCGGTTAATCAGTGATGCTTGAATCATTCGTAGTAACCGAGTGAGAGCGAGACGCCGCGCCTCGACAACGCGCGCAGAGTAGATGGGCAGCAAATTCGGTTTCGGGAAGTGGTTCTTCACCACTGCGTACATCCACTTGCACTCAGCAGGACACGCGTGGCCGCGTTGTAGTTTCTGCAGCAGTTGTTTGCGGAAGTGACGGTAGGCTTCGAACGGCCTACTCACGGTCCAGACGAGTTCGGGGTCTTGGGAGTATGGAGGCGTGTAGGTAGCTTGCACCTGGTACTGCACCTTTGAACCTTTTCGGTTGGCATTTGTATTGGTTACACTATGCACGCGGAGCTCTAGGTGCTCTAGCCAAGCAGTGGATTGAGGGAGGTCGATTGAACAAGCTCGCTTGCGATAGCCCGCTGAGAAGTTGATAACTGGCGTGCTGTAGAGTCCCATGGTCATTTTTAGAAATCGATCCGACTTTGATGAAGCAAAATAGACAATGCAGTCGGTGGGCTAACGGGTAGGAGCGATGGATGCGTCGTCGGCTGCCGACTTCATCGGACGAACCGCTTTGCCCCATTTCTGCAGGTTATCGTATGCATCATGTGGATGATCGATGCAGCTACAGGATGAATACGATACCATGTGGCTGAAACATCTTTTTGCTCGGGTCTTACTTGACCCGACTACTGTTGAGCTTATCCTTCGGCCCTTCATCGATTTTTTAAAAAGAAGCCGACTCGTTGTGGCGTAATGGCTGTCGGATAAGGACAAATGAGCCAATCACAAGCGGGTGCGAGGAGAGCAAGCGATACCGTTGAAGTGTGCGAGACCTTTCGGTTCGGCACTTTTCTCACGAACCGGCTGCGTTCGGCCATCAATCGTCATTTATGGTCGGTCGATCGCTGCAACGATTGATAGGGCCGCACCAACGCGGGCGCACTAGACACATTGCTACGAATTGCAGCGAAGGCGAGGAAACGCCACGAAGACGAAAGAAGTCTGAGCCGTTCGATTGCGATTTTTGAAATGTATATATATAACAAGTGTGGCCGTTGCTTGACAAAAACGTCGCTCGTTGATTCATGGAGACTAAAGAAGGAGGTAGAAGGACGACGAGAGTCGAAATAAAATAAGCAGTGCGTTGCCACACGTCCATTCTTAGGAAGTTTTCGGGTGGTAAACTGCTCGTCGTCGTCAATTGCACGAACGATGGCGAGTGCTGCAAGGAATGCGCTCGGCTATCCGCCGCCGTGGTGGCAGCAAATCATGACGAGTGAGTTCCTGCGGAAAATGCACCGTCCATAAAGGTGGCAGGTTTATTCTTCAGTTTGGACTCCTGATGTCGGGATGTCGTTGAACAAGTACTGGTTACTCGGAAATGACCAACGCCAGGATGACCCGCATGCCAGCAAACTCGAAAGAAACAAGAAGAAGCCCATCGGCGTATGTGGCTCGTCAGTCATGAAATATCGTATGAATAGCTGTCCATCGTAATGTGTGCTGCAGCATCGACATGCATCTATATTAAGATCCGCGGCGGTTTGATGCCAATATTGGCTCATCCGATCGACGACGCGTAGTTAGCTCAAACGAAAGTCTCTTCTTCCTGTGCGTGAAGTCTGTTTAAACCATAGCTACTTCACCCAGATCAGCTGCAGCATTCGATCCTTCCTAGTAATGTTTGTGGCTTTGTACGTAAACTTTTGTTATCAGCTTGGTTGTATCGTTGTCCATCTACATCTACGGCGTCTGCGACTAGCTCGGTTTGTTTCCTATTTAAGAAGTAAACACGTGTTTTCCACCGCGTCGACAAAAAGTTCCTCTCTTTGTGATAACAATTTTGTGCTTAATTATAGTAGCTGACGCCTTCCAGCGAGGCTCGATCTGCTTCTCTTACGAGGAGCAACACGTGTCTTCGAAAGCATCGCCAGAGCTCTTTTCTTTGCTAGAACAACTACGCTGTATATAGCAAGTGACCCTTTTAAAGGTCAGCTGCGACACGTTTTAACAGCATCAAAGGATGCAGGTTTGCTGATGTCGCCAAGGTATAAATACTCCAGATCGGCAAGAGCATTAATCAGTGGCTAGTCAAGCAGCTTTGATTACGACGTCGATTCGTAATCCGTAGACAAAGGCGCATCAAGGCACTACTCGGGCGACCCTACTGTTACTGATTGCCACTGCCGGCAACACGCACAGGAAGGGTTTTTTCGAACATCGTCACGAGGTAAACCACTGGGCACTGCTCCAACATGAGATGCGCCTCTTCCCGTCGTTGCAGTATCACCACATGTCTCGAACACAGGAGGCAGGAGTACACAAATGACTCGTGCAAAGGTCTAGTCAAAAGTGTGTTCCTTCGCGTGATTTGTGATGCAAACCTGCTACTACAATTGAACTTGGAGCGCACTCCACCTGTATTCGTCTGTCCGTCGTATGTATTTATATATATTTTGCTTTGGGAACCTGACTATCTTTTGACTTGGCAGGACTCGAAATTTGCAAACGTTGTCCGTGAAGAAGAAGGTGGGGTTTGGGCCGCCCAGTCCTTTACCATACGCGAGCTATCGAGACTGTCACCGAAGTACTGAAAAAACTGAGCACAAACTTTCTGCTATCGGTGCTTTTCCCACGCTTTGAACTGCTACAGCTTTCATGAACAAAGCCGACAGCAAATATTGGGCCACGATCTTTGCTTCTTATCAACGAATGTCTTGCACGTAAGTGTGCAGTCTACGGGAAAAATCTTCTTTTGGAAGCGCCCTCTTCCTACGTGCTTTACGCGCGTCAAAAATACCAAGTCTGACTGAACAAATCTCTAATTATGGCTTGTGCACCAGACGTGCATCTTGCCATACCACGAGCAAGAAAATGTCGTGCGAGAAGGCAGAACGATGTTGTATTGGACATTGATTGCGAGAGCAGTTGTCATGTATTCCATATAAAGTCAGTTCGGTTCGTGCAAAGCAACGGCCAAAACCACTTTGTTGTAGCATACCATCAGAAGACATACACATGTGCAGTAACTATCTTGATGGCACGGTGGTGATATCACCCCGCGCTGACGATTAAATTAGATCAACGATCGAACGACATACATGCGATACGTCAAACGGCAACAATCTGCAAGAAGGTTGTGGAACGACCAAAGGGGGTGGAATCACAAGAAGACTGACGCGGCAGTGGCGCGTCGAGATGGCATAGGAACAATATCAAGCGAATCGTCACTTACAGTGTACTGTAAAACCAGACGGAGCTTGCCGTTGTGAAGCACGCAGGTAACACGCGCGGGCGTCCACCCATATGGCAGTGCTACCGAAGTTCGTGGGACTTGTCGACACCTTTGACGACCACATCAAGAATTCTATTCAGGTATTCCACCCGTTGTGAAACGGCTTGGAACGACAACGAACCCTAGTCGACTGCAGAATGCCGTGTGATGGTTTTGCTGGTTTCGTTGGTTTCGTTGAAGCGTAACCTTATTTTGGTTCGCGTGGTGTCGTCACCATCGCGTGTCATCGAGTCAGAAAGCCAACAGGTGCGACGCTGTGATCGGCATGTGACCAACGCGACGATATGTACCCTACATGCTCTTTCTATGCCTCAATGATAAGTCTTTGATATATCCGAAACATCAACTACATATCCGCAAAGGACTCTGTAAGATCACGAAAGGGTTGATGAGCTGCAGATCGAAGTTTGTGCCGGTGCGGCAGAGTCGGTGATGGTTCGTATACAGCAGTTACTACCAGTGCGTCAGTCGTCAATCTCACACGAAGAATAAAAGTCATGCAAGCTTGAAACTAGCATGGCTGAGTCAAGTCTGCGAATGTAGATGCCTCCAGTAAGCGCTTCTTGTATCGCCGATTGATAGTGAGGTGGCTCCTACACAATACAGGAGCCTCACGACACCTCAATGCCTTCTCCTCTATTCTGCGTACGAGTTGCGTACGAGTTGAGTTTGTAGTCTATGAGGGCTCGAAAATGGGGTGCACACGAGGTGCAATCGGAGCAAGTGGTGACACTCAGACGACTCTTTGGTCATCCACAACGCGCGCACCAGTGCCGGCGTTTGTTTTTGAGTGGACGGTAGCGGGTGAAGGTCCGAGCGTGCCTAATCGGTCGATCTATGTAATATTTCAGCCTCCGTATCGGTGGCGAAAGGCTTAGAAGATGGGGTTCCTGCAATAGCCGCGCAGATCATCATGCGATCACTCAGAAAAACAATGACACTTCCTTCACAAACTGCTTCCATACACAGTTGCAGGCTGATATTTCAGAGCGATGCGCATGGACCCTCACTGAACCAGTTACACCTGATACGAGGCTGTTACGTTTTTTAAACACTTACGGGCGATGTCACGGTGTGGCATGACTGAGATGCGGCGACTCAGGTCCCGCTGGCGCGGGTACAGGACCATCACAAGATATCGATGCTCTGTGCGTTTCCCCACAACCTGGACGAGAAGGGTGTCACTGAGGCGTAGATGCGGTCGAATAGCAAGTATACAAATCGGAGTTAGCGATGGTTTACATTTGCTTCGTCGGCCATTTATCTCTCCAGCATTCTCCGGCCAAGTCATAGGCGGACCTACAGACTCGAGTACGAGGTCTTCGAACAAAATTGAAACAGAAGCCACAACGCCACCCATTCCTCTGTCGGAAGGTGTGCTAGTGGGTCGGAAAGCGTGAATGGGTAGTATCGGAGAGACACGTGGAGGCCAATTTGTTGAGTGCAACGACAGCAAATTATATGAAGAACTTGCAGCACAGACAGAGTAATGGGAGGCAAGTCAGCTCACCAGACTGAAAACTGGGCGAATGTCCAGCTCCGACGCACTTGAGGGGACCTAACGTATGACGCTCACACCATGAAGTCATGTGGATTATACTAGGCATGCATACATCGACATGACCATACATCTACATCACACACTGGGTGGACCTGTCTGGACGCTAGAGCTATGGAGAACATTCTTGCAGCCGTAAGACTACTAGGCGTGTCATGCAATCCGATGATGATAAGTCGATGTTTCTGACAGCCACAACAATGTCACGTGGACTCACCACAAGAGCATGATCTCCATCAAACACAGGCAGTATCGGAAACGATTCCCTGTAGAAGGACGAGAGCGTATCATCATTTGTGGAAGAAAAGGCAGTGCTCCTACTGGACTGGCCACAATATGCTCGCTGGGTTGTTGCGCGCAGGAGAAGGACGAAAAGCCTATGCTGTAAGAGTAGTGCCCATAACTAAGCGGCATAATCTCCTGGCGCTTCCAGCCGAGAACTCCACAAGCCATGCCTCGAAGTCATATAGCAGGCATGACCCAAAGTGCTCAGCAATGACCTGCTTCAGAGTCATAAATCATGTGTTGTATTGATTTACCCCAATATTCACTTCATTGGAGCCATGTGCGTCGCTTTGGTTTTCTTCCATTTGTTTTACACATCTG